TTTTGCGGTTTGATGGTCAGTGCTGCCACGTGAATGGCATCCAGTACCATTCTCAGTCAGTGGATGTGTTGCTCGAAGGTAGAAGAAAAGACCACTACATCGTCGAGGTAGACGAGACACAATTGCCACTTGAGTCCGGAGAGCACAGTGTCCATCATCCTCTGAAAGGTAGCGGGAGCAGAGCACAAACCGAAAGGGAGCACTTTGAACTCTTATAGTCCATCTGGGGTCACAAACGCCGTCTTCTCGCGATCTCGTTTGTCCACCTCGATCTGCCAATATCCACTTTTTAAGTCCAATGATGAAAAGAAGGGAGCATTGCGTAACTTATCCAAGGCATCATCGATCCGTGGAAGTGGGTAAACATCACGCTTTGTGACTTAGTTCAGCTTTCTGTAGTCAACGCAAAACCACAGAGTGTTGTCCTTCTTTTTGACTAGCACTACCGGTGATGCCCACGGACTGTTGGATGGCTGGATTACATCATCGTTGAGCATTTCCTGCACTTGGTTCTTGATGGCTTCCCTTTTTTTTGGCGCTACTCGGTATGGGCGCTGATGCACAGGTCTTACGTGTTCTTCGACCACGATACGGTGCTTTGCGACGGCAGTACGTCCGACTTTCGACGAGGTGGAGAAGCACCCGGCGAACTCTCTAATGAGGTCAGCAATCTGTTGCTTCTGAGATGACGAGAGCTCTCTGTCAATGTCTACTGACTGGAGTACGTTATCTAATGTCTCTGAAGCTTTATCAAGAGTGCAAACATCTGAGACTTGCACGTACTCATGCAGCGATGCTACGGATGTTCCCTTCGCGACATGCTGCAGCTCATTTCGAAAGTTAGTTATTAGGACATACGCACATCCATCACGAAGGCTCACCAGGCCTCTTGCCACGCATAGTCCTTTTTCTAGTAGCGGTTCAATGTTTCCGTCAGCTAATCCATCACAGTCACGAAGAACTTCACTCCTCACAAGAACGGTCACACTGGAACGTGGCGGCACGGTTACATCTTCGTCCACAATGCGGAGAGGTAGAACGGTTGGTTTCTCCGCATGACAGAAGGCGATGGCATTCTCCGTAGAAAACGAAACCTGGGACTCTTGCAAGTCAATGACTGCATTGTTTGTTTGCAAAAAGTCGATGCCTATAATCGGTTCCCGGGAGCACTCGGGAAGCACAATAAAGCTGCCAACATACACAAATCCTCTTATTCCTATCCTTGCGGTGCATAACCCCACGGGACTAAGTGCCCTCCAGCGGTACGTATCTGAGGTCCGGTCCACTCAGTCATCACCTTCTTAAGCTTCTTTGCGAGAGCATTACTGACAACGGAATAGTCTGCACCAGTGTCTATTAGCGCAACGGTCTCGACGTCATCGATCGTGACTAATATCTCGGAGGTAACGTCGCTACTACTGCACTTGACCGTCGTTGCGTAACTGCCACCGTCTTGTCGGGCTAACAATGGAGGGTCTTCAGTTGTCAGTATATCAGCGGCCTCACCTCCAGAGGTCGCTGGCTCTAGTTTTCCCGCCGAGGGCTAGGTGAACGTGATCTTCGGAGATTTGATGACGGACGAGGACTCGGCGACCGATAGCGCATCGGTGCTGTCGAACGCGACTCCCGTTGTTGCGTGTCTTGAGGTGAATAGCGTGAAGACAAGTATTCTTCGATTTCGTAGGGCCGTTCACCATTCCGTGGGCATGGTGCATTGACTGGAAAACCACGCAGTCCCGCTCGACGATACTGGCACGCCCGGTAAAGGCGACCTGCTTCTCCGCAGTGGTAGCAAAGGGGCCGCCGGTCTACAGTGCGCCATACATCGCTCTTACGTGGTCTTGCTTCCGGCATTGGTAGCGGCGTACTCGGAGAAAACATCGGAGGCATCACAGCAGTCGCAGCCGTCCGATTCATGCGTCCGAGGTCCTGTCGTACAGCTTGCGCGTACGACAACTGAGGCGGAGGCTCCGGTTGTGCGCGCTGTAGTACCTGAGGTTGTGTTTGTAGAACCGCTTGCCGCACTTCTTCGCGCACAACGTCGGCAAGCGAGGACATCGCTGGATGAGCTTGAGTCATGTGTATCTTCTGCAGTTCTTCCCTTACGACAGCCCTCACCATTTCACGCAAGAGATCAATGTTACTCGTGAGGGTTGTCGACGCCGTGCTAACAGATGAGACGCTTACGTCCCTGTTGTATTGGGGCGCGCGCTGCTGCAGGGTCTTTTCTATCATGGTCGCCTCTGGTCTGAACTCAGCAAGAGAACGCGGTGGATTACGCACCAGGCCTGCAAAAAGCTCCTATTTCACTCCACGCATCAGGTGCCACAACTTCTTTTCCTCAGCCATGTTCTGGTCGGCCCGGCGGAACAGTCGAGACATGTCTTCAATGTACATGGCGACGCTCTCGTTGTTCCGTTGGTTTCGCGTCTGAAGAGCAGCCTCTGCCTTTTCTTTGATTGATTTGTGGGGTTTAACGTCCCAAAACCACTATATGATTATGAGAGACGCCGTAGTGGAGGGCTCCGGAAATTTTGACTACCTGGGGTTCTTTAACGTGCACCCAAATCTGAGCACACGGGCCTCGACATTTCCGCCTCCATGGGAAATGCAGCCGCCGCAGCCGGGATTTGAACCCGCGACCTGCGGGTCAGCAGCCGAGTACCTTAGCCACTAGACCACCGCGGCGGGGCTCTGCCTTTTCTTTGCGGTCCGTGTTTGGGTACGTAGCAAGAAACTCTCTTCGAAAGTCGTCCCACGATAATAAGGACGCTTTGTGGTTTTCGAACCACGTACGTGCAGAATCTTGCAGTGCCACGTAGACGTAGCGAAGTTTGCGGTCTTCGTTCTAACCGTTCAGTCTGGCAACGCGTTCGAAACCGTTCAGTCAGTCCTCGGAATCCTCGAAAAATATCACCGTGAAATACCTCTGGTATGCGGGGCGGGTCCATGACGATTTGCGATAGAAATGAAGTCGCTTGGGTGGCCATTGCAGGGGCTCCGGAACTTACGTCCACCGCTGGTCTCGAAGAATCGAAGAGGGCACCAAACTCGGGCTGCTCACCTCGTAGGCGACGACTCGTTCGTTGGTGTACAAGAGTCAACAGCGCTGGCTCCAACCTTCGGGGTTCTGGGCTATGTTCCCTATGCTGAGATGGGCTTGGAATCATACCCCGCACCTCCACCAGTTTGTAACGAACAAATACAGTGCTGGAAGCTAAAACAGCTATTTATTAATGGCCAACTTGTGCCCGTCAACTAAATACACAAAGGTTGTGAGCTCACTGGTCAAAACCTCGTCAACTTCTCTTGCGTCTCGCCTCGAGCTGCTCTTCGAAAAACCCCCAGCGTTCCTTGTCCAGCGCGTGATGTGGTGACACGTGCAGCCAGCGTTGCATGGCGCGTTTATAGCTTGGCGCGTTTGGCTTGTCCGTTGGTGTGGCAGAATTCAAAGCAGCAGGAAGCGGCGCAGGACTTCGGCAGGTGCCTAACAACATGCGGCAATATAAAGGCACTGTCCTGATCATTTGAATTTAGGTAACCGAAAAATCAATCGAGCTGAAGCTGAAATAGAGCTATACGCAATGACTTTTCTTGACAGCACTGTGGAATCTACAGAACCAAAGTGCATTCCTGCTACGATGCCAAAAAATTAAGCTCAAGTTCACTGATCATTTTCTCATATGCCTTGCTCAAATAAATACAATAGACTTTCATTAAACGAAGCCTGAAAGAACCAGTAAAGTATGTTTCATTTGAACAGGAGTTTTGTTTAAAGAGAGATGGCCAGGGGCGCAGAATGCAAGAATGAATCCAATCTTGTCAGAACTTGTTCCATTTAAACAACAGTTCCGTTTAACAGATTTCCATTTGCTGAGAGTATGCTGTACTGCCTTATGTATTATGAGACTGAAACAGTTGCAAGAACGCTTTCATTTCTAATTCATGGACAGCACCACCTTTCCACTCCACCCGTTTTCTAAGGAAACACGGTGTTCGAGACACCGGTGTGGAGCCGCAAACGCGCTGTTTAATTCTCCGTAAAATAGTAATAGTAATTCACTCGTAATAGGACACTAAAAGGTACACTGAACAATAGAAATGTCTCTCCCATTTGTAACTTTCATGTATACGTCTTTATGAACATGTTAACGATGTGATCGTGTGAAAATGAAAGCAACTGCAAGCTGCCGTATTACTTGCACGAGTAGTACGGCAGCAGAACACAAATTCGCGGAAGCCCCGCCTCCGTAGCTTTCACTCCAATGTCAAGATAAGTTGTCGCCGAGTGTTGTCTCCTGTACTTTACAGACCTTACAAATCCATAGGTAAGGCATTCAGTGAAGAGGATTGCAAGGGTCTTTCTCTCACTTCTTTGTTTCTCTCTTGTAAGGCTTTGTAGCACTGCATTTGTTTAGGTGGTGTGGCATTTTCCATGCGATATTAGCACAAAAATATCTTATATGTGGCCACATCTAAAGTACTTTTCAGAGTTAAGTTGTAAAGACCACGCTTGTAAGTACTACTGCATCCCGGCTGTGGCGGCTGCATTTCCGATGGAGGCGGAAATGTTGTAGGCCCGTGTACTCAGATTTGGGTGCACGTTAAAGAACCCCAGGTGGTCGAAATTTCCGGAGCCCTCCACTACGGCGTCTCTCATAATCATATGGTGGTTTTGGGACGTTAAATCCCACAAATCAATCAATCAAATGTAAATACTACTGCCAAATTCAGTTCATATCTGTTCTTTTGCTGCATCTATTAATGTGTAGAAAGAAAAGAATGTGATAAAAATAAATAATTTATAACACAAATTATTGTTCAAGAAATCAATGAGTGCCAAGAAAACAGGACTGTCCTTGTGATGAAGCTTGAAAAAAATTTGTGGAAATTAAAGTTTTCTGACTAAGTAGTTGGCTCTGTTCTCGCACACATACCATTTTATCATGGCTTGGAAGGCAATAATGCATAACACTTTTATTTAATTTTCTTGCTCCTAGGATTACATGTTCTTCGAGAAGACCGGCAACAAGGAGAACGATAGGCCCGGCATGCTGTAGTAGATTGGTGAGACGCAGATGAAGGAATCGCACGTCCTCCTCGCTTTTGCTGAATACCCACTTGTGGAGTGTCTTCGTTCGGGCATTTGGACCATGTACTGTTATTGTTCGTGTTTTTCGAATCTCACCTTTCGTTTTGTGACCTATTTCTAAACTACTTTTAAAAGCTTTTTGCTTCTTCGTGTATGGTAGTTGTCTAGTCTAAAATACAAGCTGACTTAGCATTCTTGTGCATTTTTTGAGAGAGTAAGGTTTGAGGTTTTTGACAACTGGTCTTCTGCACAGATTTACGGGCAGCATGACGTTTCTGTTTACAATGTTGTTACTTTAGAAACTTTCCATTTTTAAATGTACATTTCTCCATTCATTATAGGTTCAGTTACTTTTCACCTATAATGCACCCACTCATAATAAATATGATGAGGAAGCAAAGTGTTCAGGTGCACAAGCTAGTCCAATTACTGTGGTGTCACATGGTGCGTGACATTTCTGTACAATTCAAGCCAATAGGTAAGATTAGCAGGTTTTGGGAATGTTTGTTTTTATGTACGTTGAAGCCAAGGTCGTATTCTTTGCCTTATCATAAATTTCGGGGCTCATTAGGGTTGTGTACTCTACTTACCAAAGGTTTCTTAGGTTTGGAATCATACCTTGTCATCAAGAGATGATTGAATAAAAAAATAGGTTACTTTAGTGTTATTTGTACTATAGCTTATATATTTAGTGTAGACTTGCTAGAGGATAGTACTATTAAAATGGTGGAAGTATGACGGGGCCAAAAATAAAAAGGTAGAAAAGCCAAATACTAAAGTGAAAATGCTGTGAGGTTAAATGACGCATTAGCTTTAGCAACTTCAAAGCTTAGGACAGTTTGGTTGAAAAAGTCGCAGATGTTCTTGCAGTTGGTGTATGTTATTGAAAATATTAGTCAAAGGCCTAGTAGCTTGACACAGTATAATCAGGTAGCAGGTGCTTACATCACTGGAGCACATCGCTGAGCAGTTTATATTGCATTTGCAGGCCGTTGAAATTCTCTAATGTGTGGTGTTGGACGGTTGCAGGTTATGCAAAGTTGGTGTTCACATCAAAACCTTGCAAGATGCTTGACTGTAGAGCTGGATTCTTCAGTGTTAGAGCACGTGTGTTTTTTTTATCTGTAAGTGCAGGGCAGTAAGAAGCGTTAGCGTAATAAAAAAATATTTGTGTTCTATCTTTCAATTGTTGCCTTGATACGAATTTTTTTACATGTGTAAGTCAAGTCAGAATTGTGCAGTAATGCCTAATTTAGGGCGAGGAAAAAAATTTGAATGTTTGGTCAGTATGTATGGCTGCTGCACAAGACGTTCAGATACAATTGAAAAATATAAAGAATGCAAATACCTAAACTTGGTTGAATAAAACTTTATTGTATTTGTTTGACATATCTTACAGGTAGAAGCTGTAAGAATTGCATACTTGCTAGAAACTGTGCAATTTTACGGTTCAGTGTAGACATTTGATTTGGTAAGCTGTTGAGTTAATTGACAGTTAAATCAATTGTGCTCAGTTCCTTTAATTGGACGAAAAAAGGCTGTAGAACATAAAAGAAATAATTACAATAATGTCGAGCACTTTATCTGCCAGAGCCATTATATGGTTATTAGGCATGCCTAATTGGAAGGTTCAAAAATTTGGACCATCTGGGCGTTCTTTAACGTGCACTTTCATTGCAGAGTAAACAGGCTTTTAGCGTGTGGCCTCCATCGAAATGTGACTGCCACAGTCGGTATAAAACTAGAACACATGAAACTTTTTTTGGGCTGGGAAACTGCGTTTTGGAGTCATGCTTGTGATGTGCTACAAGGAAAGAAAAAAAAAAAATGAGATGACACATAGTGACACAGAGGCTTGCGTTCTGAAGAGTTCCTTGCAATGCATCATGCAGATGTTATCAAAATATTAGTTGGCACGTACAAGCACAAATTGCTGAAGTTTTAAAACATGAATATGTGTGCCAGGGGAAACATTCCCTTTTCCCTTCTAGCATACCTTTTAACAATGTAGGATAAGAATTAGTGCTGAAAAAACTTTTCAGGTTTGTAGGTAGCGCTTGCTTAGGTTTCAAGGCAATCCGATGCTTACGATGGCATTACCAATAGTGCAGCTATAGCATTACATTGGCAGTGTTCCCTGCCTAATGACAAGTTGTTCCTTAAGACAGATAGGACAGATCCTTAAGAGGGTGTTTCCAGAAGAGTTATCAAAATTTTCTGAAGAGCTTCATTGTTGTATACGCAATGAAATCCTTCATGTCGCATTTTATTCACGGAGGCATTAAAGGGGCTATCAAGAGCAAATCGACGTTTCCCTTGTCAGCAAAGTACAATTTCATGATGCCAAAAACACCACTTTTAACCGCGACACAACGCTTGGTAAGCGAAAAAATGCGCGAGAGGAAAATGTGGGTGAAGGCAACATCGTTACGTCATAGATTTCGAAAGCATCTACTGGCTCCTACGTAGCTTCTAATAAATGACAATGCAGTAAGTTATTATTTAAGGTTGCTGTAGACCTAGCATACAAAGTTTCAGAAAATATAACTCTGCTAATGTCGCAAAAATAGAAAAATACATTTTGAAATTTATTATGTCATGCATAGAGATTTGAGCACGAAAGTTGAAAATGAAACTTTAAACCTTTATTTTCTCCCCTAATGATGCAGTTATGATAGTGAGATATATGGCATTAGAGTTCTCAGAGTGGAGTTTGTCAATCTAAACCAATCTATTGTTTCTTCTTAACATCCCGTTAAGTGTGGGCAAATCATGCCAGTGAAACGAGCTGACTGTAACAACTTCAGAAGGGCGTAAATGCACTTTCTTGTAACCTGCATGTAGAATAGGGAAGCTAGTGTTATTTAAAAGTTTTTTCTTTTGGCATCGTTTTGATTGCTGTTCATTTCATCCAGAGTGATAAAAAAAAAAAAGAAAGCTGTGCAACCTGAAGTGTTGCATGAAAGTCAGGTCGTAAGATAGTGATGAAAAAGGTGCCTGTGATGATTTTTTTTTTTTTTTGAAGCCTGTTTAGAGCACAAAAGTTTGATTACAGGAGTCTGATAGGGACAGCTGCACAAATGTAGGTTAGCCAGCACATTTTAGTTTCGGGCAGTAACTTGTACCTAGGGTCCCCACTCTCTCACTGTCGATTATTAAGAAATATTCTAAAAGTACACTTTTATCGCTGTATTACAGAACAGTAACTTTATCACCATCTAGGGCTTATTTATTGAGCTGGTAGCCTTAGGTGGTTTCTGTGTTAGAGGTCCTTTTAGAAAACTGGGAACTTTGCCAGATGCACCATGATGAAAATAAATCTCTCCATGGATGCATACGAAAACGACTGAGAGTGGGTGAAAAAAAAAAGAAAATCGGGTACAAAGCAGTTGATACTTCCTCCCAGCCTCACTCTGCACAGTAACGGATACTGTAGCGTATCAAAACATGTGTATGCGTGCTGCACATATACATCAAGGTGGGCACTTCTTCTGTGGCATCCGCTGTTGTCATCAGCGCTAGTTGGTGATGATAAGTGACAGTGTGTGCACTCTCTTTTGGCTTCCAAGGACGGTCGCTCAAGCATTTTATTGCGAAAGTAGCGCACATTGTTGCTAGTGCTTTTGCAGCTATACGCATGCGATGCTGAAGATGATATGCAGAAGTGAGAAGTGGAACAATGATGAGTGCGATAATGGGAGGATGTAAATACTTGCGCAACACAAAAAGGGGCTTGCGTGAGATGTACAGAGAGTCCACTTTAATGCCAAACATATGTGCTGCTCAATGTGGCTCATTTCAGCTTGTGTAAGTGCAGCAGAGCTGAAAATACGTAAAATGACTAGAAATGCACCCGTTTCAAGCTGGTGTACAGTAAGTAAAAAAGCACACGGGACCACATTTGCTGCATATTCCGCTGGCATACGGTAGTGTCAATTGGCCCTATTTGGTTGCTGGTATAAGGCTGATAGCTTGCTCTTGTCAGAATCTGAGGCATATTGCAAGATGTGTGCTCTATTGATTAATAACAGACTTCATCATAGTAGCTGGCACTCACTTTTACATCAAAGCTTCATTAATCTTGTACTCAACCACTGTATTGGCAGTGTAATGAATAAGAAGGTACTAACAGGCTTTGTCTCCTGTGCTACTTGAAAGGGAGTAGTTGCGTTTTTCTACTTTACTCATGCTTAACTTTTGCAATACTTTGTGCTGGAGCAGAGTAGCAATATATTCACGATTCATCTGATTTATAGCATTGAAACAGCATGGCCAGTTGTTCACAGGCAGATTTACCTTCTTAAGTGTTCTCTTTTTCCTGTGTTAACTTACATCGGTTTGGTGAGATCCTCTGCTTCCATTTATTGGCTGTGCATTCAGAGTAGAGGTCTGAATTTCATTTATGATTCCTATTATCCAATTTGAAATAGTGCACATTTTTTTTCAGGAGGCTTTTGTTTTCTAGTATTCGTGATCACGTGCTAACATGAAAACGTTTTGTTTGTGAACTTGTAATTAATGTATTGTTCGCACCTGTGGTCAGTTTTGGAAACAAACTGTTCTCAGAAGGATTGTAAGTATAGCTTGTTAATGCATTATTGTTGAGCATCTACTGTTATACAGAACTGTTAGTTGGGCTAATGACAAGGTCTCCAGAAAGTACTCAAATCATGAATTCTTAATGGTGGTAATGGTATCGCAGTTTGAAGAATAAATGTAGTTGCTCTGTCGCGCACCGCTCCATACTTCGTTCAGACTGTCGGTTGATACAGATTCTTGAATTGGGGCATCTCGTTGTCGCATGAATTAATAAAACACACTGTGCAGATAATGCGTTCAAATTGGTCATGCCGCAGTTGTGTTGTAAACTGTGGTTTGCAAAGTAGGTCTTGTGTAGTGTGTAGTTCCTATACTTTGTACCTGTTGTTCTAGTTTCAACTGAGCACTTTGTCTCTCAATTGTGCCAACAGTTCAGAAGTTATGTTGAGCTCGTCTTTCTTCTTTGTGATAAACCTTGAGGGCTTTCTTTGGAGAAAACTTATGCCTTTTCTTTCTCTGTAACATGCAACATCACTAACCGATAAGAATAACTGCATAGCGTAACGAGAAGAGGTCTGTCATGTCAATGTCGTCTTGTTTTCTCTTTAATTGCCATTAAAATCAGTTGTAGAACGTTACATTTTTAAAACATTTTTCTTGTTTATCTTTTTGTCTCTCTGTGCTTCATTATACTTGTTATTATCAATATGCAATTTTATTGTCCTATTTCATTTTTTGCCTAGAGCTGTTGTTTTGAAGGTAAGTGTAATGTTTTAAACCTTATGATGAAAACTCTACATGCATAATAAAAAAGATAAAATTTGAATGGCAGTAATAGCTACTGTAGTTTAGATGGCAGCAATCGTTTTCTGTGCCATGATTCACTTAAACAATAATGAATCAAGCTTTCACAACAATTGCATTACAACTGTTTTGTGTTTGTGACAACATAGAACAGTTGCTGTGTTACAACATATTGTTTGCTGTGTTAAAGAAAAGAAGTGAGTATTGCATTTTGTCAGAGCTGTGCTTTTGGTGCTTACAGATGGGGCCAGCAAGTAGAATTTTATTCAGGAAGTATGTCTGTACACTCAAAACTGGTTGTGGCAACCTTACGAGTTGGACATGACGCTCATGCTGTGAACGTATTTACACTTGAGTCGACTGTCATGTTATTGCACCGAACAATGTACGCTTAGTTACCTTGTACCCTTAAAAGGCACCTTTAGATACCTTCTCATTAAAATTTAGGTACCTAAGTGGCATAGCTGTCTTCAAAAATGCTCATTTGTTTTCATATACAATGTATAAGTCAACTATAAAGTGAATCACTAAAGAGCTTTATTGTTTGCGTGTTGAAATGTTTGTGCATGGGGAAATTACAGTCTAGTTAGACTTTCCGCTCTACATACTACTTTTTCTTTCTTGTCTAACGTCTGATGTCATGGTGCACTTTACACAATATTTCTGAATGACTCCCCTAAGCTGCCAGTACTCCTGTGCTGTCTTGGTGCATCATGTGGAGGGCAAGTGGTTTTTATGCAGTACAGCTAACAGAGAACTTCCCTGGGGAACTCTGCACCCCCCCTTTTCATTTGTGATACAGTGGTGCAGAAAGTTCTGGCAGCATTTTAGTGTTGCCATGTTTGTGTTCAGGTGTGTATACCCCACAGTGTTCAGTACCACCTACACAGTCATTGCATGCTGCTGTTGTATTTTACTGTCCAGAAGTTGTGGATCACATTTTATTCGCCGTTACTGCTAAATTTTATTCTGGCTTGATCCGCCCTAAAGATTTTTTCCTAGTACTTGTATATCGCTCGTTCATGTTGAGAATGTGACAACAATGCTTTTCTGCATGCGAGATGCATTGCTGTGTGCAGGAAAAGCACTTGAGTTACATCCATTGCTTGGACAATTTCACAGCCAATTCCTAATGCAGCTGGGCTAGTCCCTGCTTTGCAGTCTAGCGTAGCCTGCTAAGACTGCTTTCCCTGTGCCTTTGTCATATGCTGTTGGAAAGTGCATTGCTACTATTTAACATTCTGCGAAAACCTTTCAGCCATCCATTGCATCTTGTTATTTGGCCGACTTGAACCTGATGTCTAAACTAACTTTCTTGTCTTGCACAAGCTCAATTATATTTGTACTCAGTGGCCAGTGTTTGCATAGTTGCACCACTTTTTGATTCTCAGTTTAGCAATGGTTTGACCCCATTTTCAGTACGTTGACTTTCAGCATGGTTGGAGGTATTGCTTCTAAACTCTGTGACCTACGGATAGCAATTTTTACTTTCATTGTGCAAGAAGCTGTATGTTCAAGTGGCAAGCAATGTGGGGCCGAAGAGTTTTCATGTACAGTGTAGACTGCTTATAACGTGTGTCATAGATATGAAAGATGACACCAACCACACTGTCAGCAAATGATATATTTTTATAATCAGTCTACAAGCCAGACGGACAACCTCCTGTCCTAAATTGCATGTCAAGTCTAGAACCTAAGGGGATGTCAGAGTAGGTCCTGTTTTCTAAATCTCATTGCTAGAATGGTGGTGCATTTGCGTTATTTGGATTAGTGATTTGTGGGCACAAGAGGGTGTGGTGCAGAGTCTTGCTTTACCATCGTCAAGTATGAAAGGTTGTGCTGTGTTCTGTAATGCCATTTATATGGTCACATTATAACTAGTCTGCACTGTAGGCCTGCTGCACCTGTTTAGATATTCTTTGAATGTGCTCACAGCAGCTGTTGTGGGCCACAATTTTGTGGAACTTTGCTATTTAGAGAGCTTCAAGCGTATTTTCTGTCTGTTTCTCAAGGCTTTTAGGTACCGTGTAATCCTACGCTCTTGTAATCCCTTTTTGGCATATACAATAAAGCCAAGTACTTGTCTCGTGTGTAAGTGATGTCGTTGAGACTTGGGATGTTATTGTACACAACATATTTCGACACCTGGTGCGTTTTCATGTCGTAGTCAAAGACTAGTCGTTGGAAACCATGACTTTTTGTCATTACTCAGTTGCTTTTGCACGGTAGGACTGCCTAATTTGCGTGTGCTCAGTTTTTACTGATTCCAGTCCTGTAGGCGAGATGTAGAAAAGAAAAAGAGATGTTAGCGGGAGCAGTTAGGGCAGCAGAAGTAGACTGTTGCCCACAGGTGTTTCTCTAGGTCTTGCGTTCATTCATGCTCATCTGTGCTTTCCCGCATTGCTACTCGTGCCCTCAGGCTCTCGTATCGACACTCGCACTTTGATTGGCACATATGTTCGCACTTGCGGGCTCCCACTGGAGCTCATGGGTGCGTGTCCACACCCATTCACTGGAAACGACTCGCAGATGAAGATCATGCAATATTTGGCAGTTGTGCGCCTATACATCCTCCTATCTTGGCAGCGCTCAACCCAATTCATACCCACAATGACCACTCATCTGTTGCTTGAAAACCAGTTTTGACCAGTCGAAAGGACTGGTAAAAAAAAATTGAGGCAGCTTCGCCTGAGTGGTGCCAAGCAAGTGTGAAGGAAGTAAGGAGAGTTTATGGCTAATTATTTATTTTTCCAATTTTTTCTCCCTCTATTTGTCGCTTGCTTCCTCTTTCAATTTTTGTACGTGGTTTATGCTGTCATGTTTTCATAGTCATAGTAGTAGTAATGTTTGCACTTTATATCATCATCAAGGCGCTGGGAGAACAAGAGGAAGACGACTTTTTTATGGGGTGAGAGGAACGTCTGGGGACTTTCTGCGAATTCCTATGTGACACAAGGAGATTACCTTGCTGAGCCATTGATCAGCTCTCGATTTTTACTAACCGATCTTATATCTAGTATTTCATTATTACAATGTAATGACTTGACATTCAAGCGAATTTTATGAAATGATTACACCTCAGTTATTCAAAAAATTCTATAATTTATTTCTTTCACTTTTTTTTTCATATTGTGCCAAAATAATCTCGTCAAGTCAAAACAAAGTAATATTTCCCTAGCCTGGATAATTCCTAAGGTATTGACTTACATTAACCGCCACCTTCTTGGCCAATCCCCTTAGTGGGTAAGAGCCACAAGAAAGTATCCTGCAAGCAAGCGAGCAAGCAAGCGGGCGTTCGGTATGCTACAGTTGGCTATGCTTCGTGTAGTTTCGCCTGCGTCAATAATGCCAAATTCTTTCCTCAACTTCCGTTATCGCCCCGTTATACACTGTCGGTAATTTTCGGCGCAAACCGTGTTTGCAGTGTTCGAGAAGCTTGAGGAATGTATCAGATCATTTCGTTAAGATTACGCGCACTACTTGAGCATTACAGATTTACCCCCGTATTCACAAACGCTCCTAGACTCGACTGTTACCCTTCACTTGACAGAGTGAAGCAGTGCGCCACTTTTCGGCTGAAAATGACGCTGCGCTACTCAAGAATCGCAGCAGATTATCTCTGATATGCAGTGACTTGCCGTTCTTAGAGGTAGCGCTCCCATCTGCTTTCTCAATTGAAGGTGAAGTGTTAAGTGAAGGGACGTTCAAGAATACGGGGGTTATTCTGGAACCTACGTCGCAACCAGATTGTGGTTATAAGAGGGAAAAGAAGAGAACAGTGAGCCCCGTAACTGTCTGCATCAGCGTGCGAAACCTCAACAGTAGTTCACAAGGGATGGGGGTGAGGAGGGATTAAAAGGATAGGATGAAAGGTATATATATATATATAGATGCGCTAGGACAGCGGGTGATGGCAAATGAGGGATAGGAGAGATGAGAAAGGTAGAAACACGGTCACAGGAGTCCGAGGACGGGGCACCACTTGCGAGAGCTCTTGGCGTCAGGAGATAGTGTAGGGCTAATCCAGTCGGCCAGAGCTACGCTGTCGTCGGAGACCGCGAGGGCACAACCGGTTGGCACTGGAATCCAGCGAGCGAGTCCTACGTCGCCACCAGCGATAACGCTGGAAATATTCGATGGCAAGTGTACAAACACCGACGCGCTTCACAGCTTGTCAGCTTGATAGACGGTCGACGCTCCTGTTCGCCATTATCAGTGCCAGTATGTATCGCTGTAAGCCGAATTTTCTGTTTTCCGGTTACACGTTCGGCCAAATAAACAGTTTAATTTTGGACTAGTCGTCTCTGCCTTCGTGGAACGCCACGACCCCGTAACAATATTATTGTCAAAGCCTCGAAGAACAGGAAGAGGGTCAGTTAAAATCAACGCGCTCGAAAAGTATGACGAAGAAGACTTTTCGCGAGCGCGCTTTCAATATGCTACAGTGGATTATGCTACTTGCAGTTCTGTCTGTGTTAAAGAGGTCGTGAAACGCTGGCTCTAAAAGGACAATGCGAAACCGGCGTCCACATGCACCAACTATATAGGGGACGTCATCGTAATATGTTTTGCCTATCGAGGAACGCGAAACTCTTCGGTACTTGCGAGTGCACCCATCAGCGTCTTTGCCATACGCAATCGGCGCCAACTTGAACCATGGTCCTATGCTTTCTCTATGAAGGGTCTATGAAGGTCCTCTTGGGCTGACGATGTAGTTCACGCGTGTGGCTGCCGATGGTGCCGCATTGTCGCTGTAAAGCAACCGTTCCACGCCCCCTTTATTGTCATCGCCAAGGCGCTCGATGAAGAACGGAAAGAAGAGTTAAAATCAACGTGCTCGAAGAAGAGGAGGAAAAATTGATTTCTCTTTGTCGCGAGCGCGTGCTACAGCTGGTTATACTATACATAACTTAACCTACGTCACACCGCGGAACTCTGGGATACGATCTCTGGATGCGCCGCCATGACCGAGCACATAGCAGCAGACGACAGCAAGTCAAGCTGTGCTGCTCTCCCACCTCTTGTAACCAGCAGGATACAGCGCAATGGCGATTTGTGTGGTATTTGGCTGCCCCGCGCGAAGCAAGTGGAAATCGCACCGGGATGGACCCGTCGTGGGAATGTTTAGCTTGCCCAAGGTAGTCAAACACCAGTGCGACTGCACAAGAAAACTGTCCGAAAGGCGAAGGAGGGCATGGCTTGCACTCGTCAATCGGAAGGACCTCAAGGCACTAAACAACGTTCCTGTGTGCGGGTGTCACTTCTTAACAGGCAAGTTATGTTCCGGATCTCCTCACATGCATTTTCGCTCTGTGAATCGCCGCGAATCGGTTCGTCAAGCGCGAAGTAAACTTTTGTCGAAGGGTGATGCATCCCATTGAACACAGCAAACGCGCTTTGCTTTTCAGGAAGGCCCGCTAGCTTCTTCGATTACACGAACCCTGACTGGGGGCCGAACACGTTGTTGGGCCATGGTTGTCCGGAACAGCTGGCGTCGAAGTCTGTACGGTTTGGGCGCCGTAAAATGCGGGTGGCGACAAGCGCCGCTGTAGGCGACTCATGCGAGGCTGCTTCACCCAGTGGTTGCGACGCCACGGACGCTACCGACACGGAATATCCGTGTTCTCCAGCCAGCAGTGCTACACCAGGCTGCACTTTTACTATGTGAAATGCGGAGCGCACTAAAACTCACATAAGTAATTTATAATGTCGACGTGAGTAACCGTCGTAAGTAGGCTTGTATCGAGGGCGGCTTGAGCACCAACCCGCAGCTCGTACGGGTCCACGCCGTCACACAGGGCTATTTTTTTTTCTGTATCTGGCCCGCGTTGGCCCGACAAGTTCGTCAAAGTAAGCGGGGCAATGTCCCGCACGATTATCCATAGCCAGATGGGCACGCACTGTGCCAAACGACCCGCCGCACGGTCGTAAACACGGTGCGGTGACAGAGACGTATGTGCTCAGCCATGGCGGACGCAAAACCAGAAGACAGTAATTGACGTCACGTGCAAGTTATGTATATTTGGTTTCGTCTGCATTACGACAAGCGACGACAATAGCATACGATGACGTCCGACGTATTCCACATGGCGCCGACGAACTGCCGTCTACAGATTACGTGGCGCGACCGGCAGCGAATGAAAAATGGAGGGCAGCCCGCGTGTAACATTTTTTAACAATGATTCTCTGATAATCGCGCATGCGCTGTTGCAGCCGCTTCTTGTGGCGCCATTACGTCGTGGGATCGTTCATTGCCGTCCTATCGGTGAGACCTGCACGAGGCGTACCGCGGAGGAAAGAAATCAAAGGAAATACATACAACAAAAATCGCAGGATATGGCCCCCACGGCACATGATCTTCGGGCTCACGAAGGAACGGAAGCGCCTAAACAGCAGAGCTGAATCACTTGGATCACTTCCATGCAATCGCCTTTTCGCCTACACCCTGCGCTCTTGAAATTCAACCCAATAACAGGCATGACTTGCTATATTTTCTGTGAAGAACGGGGACAGATAATGAAGCTAGTCATATTTGTAGTCATTGCTTTAACTTTTGACGTGCCGCCATTTGTTTTTTTTTATCAGTTGCAATAAGAGCAGTTTCTTTTACTTCAAGTCCGCCGTTTTGGTACATGGCTGCCGCGTTCTGCTGATGTCCCAAATGTCGCTGGTTTGAACCAGGCCGTGACGGTTGCATTTAGATGCTTGAGCGGGTTAAACTATAAATTTCAGGAGCTCTAAGTACGGCGTGCCTCATAATCACATCGGGGTTAACGAAATATATATATATATATATATATATATATATATATATATATATATATATATATATATATATATATATATATATAGTTTTATATATATATAAAAGTTGTTATAATTTTTTCTTTCATAATTCCTGTTATCTGTTTGCTCGCAATTTCTGTGCCTTAAAAGTGTACTTCCTTGTATTGTGTCTTTCATTTTTCTTTTTCTGTTATGTTATGCACATTTGGTTGTGTTATATATTATGCACATTTGGTGAATCCTTGCTGTTCGCCAAGTTAGGGGTCAGCAGCTCAGTCAAGCTGTACGATCCTCGGATTTTGCAGC